TGTGTGTAAAAAACAATACGCGGGGGGGGGGGGGCGAATACTCCCAAGACGTCATCAGGGGAAGAGGGAAAGTAGTTTTCATATTGAGTAATTTTGAGGAGGGGAGGAGGAGGAGGAGGAGGAGGAGGAGGAGGATGAGGAGGAGGAGGAGGAGGGAGGAGGACGAGGAGGAGGAGGAGGAGGAGGGGGAGGAAGAGGAAGGAAGGAGGAGGAGGGAGGGAGGAGGAGGAGGAGGAGGAGGAGGGAGGCGGAGGAGGAGGAGGAGGAGGAGAGGAGGAGAGGAGGAGGAGGAGGAGGAGGAGGAGGGAGGAGGAGGAGGTGGGGGGAGAGAAAGGTGCATGTTTAGAGGCCCCATTGGGGCCCTGGCCCCTCGAGGAGCCCGAGAGGCCCCTTCCTGCAGCCCTCGCTGCCCCCCCACCTCCGTCGCCCCCGCCGCCCCCCCCCCCCTGCGCGACGCTCGAGCAGCACACGGCGCACTTTCCCGCTGGGCGCCGGCTGGCCGCTCGGACCGTGGCCGCCCAAGACCTCCGAGGCAAGACGCCGAGGGCCTTCGACCGCCGCCCGACGACGCCCCCAAGTACATCCCAGACTCTCGACTCGCCCCTCGATCCCCCTTTCTTCCTCCGCCCTCCTTCGCCCAACCGGCTCGATCTTTGGCCCGGCCGACTCGCTGAATCGGAGGCGCCGCTGTCCCGTCCCCGCCGAAGCGGCGCCGCTTCCGTCGCGCTTGTCGCCTCCTGTCTGCCAGCGGTGGATCCCAGACTTTCTCGATCCTCGATCCCCTCTCCTTCCAGGAGGAGGTGGTGAGGGGCCCCTGGAAGTTGACGACGCGCAAAAAAGGGGCAGGGGGGAGATAGGAAGGCTTCTTGGCAAGAGAGGCCGCTGCTTAGAGGGCGCCGGCCCTACATCTGCAGACGGGGCCCGCGCAGTTCGAAGAAGCATGGGTGCTTCAACGACGCCTTCCCCCCTGGCCCTTACTGGGATCAAGCGATGAACACATCATAATTCTGGGGCGGGCGATTAAACAAATAATTGTGCCGGCCTGGATGCACCCACAATACGGGAGGGGCGGGGGGGGGCAGGCCGACGGAAAGCGGACAATACCGGGCTGTCTGGGGGGCCAGGGGGGGCTCACGGGCTGACAATTCAAAGCCGGGGGGGTGACAATTCGGAACCGTAGGGGCCGAAGGAGCCTCCTCCTCCTCCTCCTCCTCCTCCTCCTCCACCTTCTGTCTGTCTGCTGCTGCTGCTCCTTCTCCTCCTCCACCTCCCTCCTCCCTCCTTCCTCCTCCCCGCCTCCCCCCGCACTATCCTCATCCACCTTCGCCTCCTCCTCCTCCTCTTCCCTTCCCTCCTCCGTCCTGCAGCTGCGAAAAAATAGCACCGACGCTGTGCGTTTGCAGCGTCGCGGGTTGACAAGCGAGCGCAGGGGTGACGAATAGAAAATCAATTCGAACGCGACGGCAGACAAATTGCCCGGGGGAGGCGGACGATAAAAACAATTTTGGCGGCTGGATTGGATTAGTCTGCGCAACTCATTTATTTTGAAGCCCCCGTGGGGGAAAGGGGGGGAATTTTTGTTTGAGCGCTTGCTCCCGTTACCCTTAGGTCGGGCATGTCCCCCTACCCCTTACAGGCGGATGTTTGAAGACAACAATTGCTTAAACATGCGCAGCAATATGTGACACAACATTAAGATTCGTCCTGCAGAGGGATAGAAACATCATTTTTGACTATCTTTGAATACTCCTCCTGTAGAGGGATACGCCCGACTTGACATACCCCCCCCTTCGCGCGGCCAACGAATTCTCGACCCCTCCCGCGGGGCCAAACTTTCGTGCCGAGGGTCGTCCCGTGACGGCCCTGGCGGAGCCTGGCGAGAGCCCCCAGCCTCCTGCTCCTCCTCCTTCTCCTCCTCCTCCTCCCTCCTCCTCCTCCTCCTCCTCCTCCTCCTCCTCCTCCTGCTACTCATCCTCCTCCTCCTCCTACTCCTCCTCCTCCTCTTTCTCCTCCTCCTCCTCGTCCTCCTCGTCCTCGTCCTCGTCCCCGTCCTCCTCCTCCTCCTCCTCCTCCTCCTCCTCCTCCTCCTTCTCCTGCTCCTCCTCCTCCTCCTCTTCCCCCGAGGCCGCCGAGGGTCCAGCGGCGAGTCCGCCAGGCGCTTGGCGGGGTAGTCCGAGGGCTCCAGCTCCACGCGGCACCACGGCCGCAGCGCCCCCGCGGACACGGGGATGCTGGCGGGCGCCGCGCGCGGGGGGGAGACCGCGGCGCGCCCGCCGCCCTCCGCGCGCCTCCCCTCGGCCCGCCGCCGCCGCCGCCGTCGCCCGCGCTCTCGCCAGCGCCGCCAGCGCCACCGTGGCGCCGCTACTTACGCCACGCATATACACGAATCTATACATTTATATATACATAGATATATGAAGACACACATATTTACATATATACAAAGACGCCCGCCGAGGAATGTTGCATGTACCTTTCGGGAGGGCGGCGGTGTGGAAAGCTGCTGGCTCCCAGTGGTGGTATGACCCCACATGTTTCGTATGGCTTTGGTTTTCTTCCCTGCCGCGTCGCACCCGCGAGGCTCACTCACCTCCCCTCATGCTTCTCCTTCTCCTTCTCCTTCTCCTTCTCCTTATCACACAGCACAGCGCAACACAGCGCAGCGCAGCGCAGCACAGCTCCGCACACTGCACATTGGCACACAGCACGTACACAGCACATCACAGCACTGCACAGCACTGCTCAGCTCAGTTCAGCACAGCGCATCTCAGCACATAAACAGCCCAGCATAGCACAGCACAGCACAGCACCTCAGCACAACACAACACAGCTCAGCACAGCACCCCTGGACACCACAGGGGGGGCGCAGCAGGTGGTCTCTGAGCGCGGCCGCTATCCACGACATTGTCGCACAGCCTAGCAGGCGTGGCACTTTCTGGACACCATAGGGGGTGCGCATAGGGTGGTCTCTCAGCGCGGCCGCTATCCACGACACTGTTGGAAAGCCTAGCAGGCGCTGCACTTTCTGGACCCCATCGGGGGTGCGCAGGGGGTGGTCTCTCAGCGCGGCCGCTATCCACGACACTGCCGCAAAGCCTAGCAGGCGCTGCACTTTCTGCACACCATGGGGGGTGCGCAGGGGGTGGTCTCTCAGCGCGGCCGCTGTCCACGACACTGTCGCAAAGCCTAGCAGGCGTGGCACCATCTGGACACCAAAAGGGGGTGCGCAGGGGGTGGTCTCTCAGCGCGGCCGCTATCTACGACACTGTCGTAAAGCCTAGCAAGCGTGGCACTGTGCTCAGGGGGGGTCTCTCAGCGCGGCCGCTGTCCACGACACTGCCGCAAAGCCTGGCAGGCGTAGCACTTTCTGGACACCATAGGGGGTGCGCAGGGGGTGGTCTCTCAGCGCGGCCGCTGTCCACGACACTGCCGCAAAGCCTGGCAGGCGTAGCACTTTCTGGATACCATGGGGGGTGCGCAGGAAGTGGTCTCTCAGCGCGGCCGCTATCCACGCCACTGCCGCAAAGCCTAGCAGGCGCGGCACTTTCTGGACACCATGGGGGGTGCGCAGGGGGTGGTCTGGCCTGGACGGAGTGCAGCCTGGCCGAATCCAGCCTGGTCGAGTTTCGCCTGGCCGGGTCTTTCACGTGTCCAGGAGGCGTGGAGGGGGGCGCATAGGCGAGTCGCTTTGGATGCCCGGAACGGGTACGGATACAGTGCCCAAGAATACATGTTGTCCTAAACCGGCAGCGGCCGCTGTTGGGCGGACGGAGCTGTGTCTTCAAGGGACGACGTCCGCGTCGGCGCGGGCAGCGAGTCCTGTTCAAACTGAGCAGGAACTGCTGTTGGGCCTCGTGCAGTAGGAGCTCGGCCACAAGAAACCTTCCACAGGAAACCCAACCCTGAGAGCACAGGACGCCCATTAATTGTTGGTGTGGGAACGTCACGCCCTCCGTCGCACAACCACCGAAACCCCAGAAGCCCAGGGCACCTTGGAGGCACGCAGGGTGCTCCTTGGCACGGGCCTCCGCTGTCACCCCCTTCCTTCCGTGCCCGTGCCGATCGCGCCGAGCGCCGCAGGCCGGAGGCGGGCAACACCGCCGAGACAGCGGCGGCTCTCCCGCCCGGGGCCCACGTCCGCTCCAAGAAAAAATCTGCCCCCGGACCTCTCCTGCATGGGCTCGCTCCTGACCCGTTTCTCGGGGATCTTCTGACCCGGGCTCCCGAGTCCTCTGGAGTCCCGAATTTCCCTCCCCCTCATTCCTCCGGGCCTCTCCGCCGGAACCTTCGCCCTGCCTGCGATGTGATCCGCGTGGGCTCCCGTGACTTGCGTAAGGCTTCCGCGAGGTCCGATGCATTCTTCAGCCCCTTCTGCGGAGGTCGGGTGGAGGTGGAGGGTTCTCGAAGCGGATCCTGGCCGTGGCGATGAGAAGCCACCGGGAGCTCCAGAGAGGGCGAAGCAGCGCCAAGGGGAGCGCCGATGCCTCGACCTCGGCCCTCGGCCCTCCTCCGAGCACGACGCGGCTGGCCGAACAGAAGGGCAGCCGGCTCCTTTCTTGGCCGACACGGCCCCCGCCCGGGCGAGGTCGCCGGGGTCCGCGCCAGCGGTATTGCGGGGTCGGGGGCGTCCAAGAAGGGGGCAACCACGAGGGAGCTTCGCGCAAACCATGGCCCGAGGCATGTGCGCGGAAGAAGAGGGGGCCAATGAAGTCCAGGCGACATCATGGCCCCGGCAATGATACCCCACCCTTACGACGTCCAATGGAAAAACAATCCAACAAAAATCTCCAAACAACCCCCTGGACAACCCGGACAACCCCGCTGGCAACCCCTCGGACAGCCCCCTGCACAACCCTGGAAGGATCGGGACACTCCCCCCGCCCCAGACAGCCCCCCTTGGACACGCCTCCCCATGATTTTCCAAAAGATACAATAGGCCTCACGCCCCTCTTGGCCGCCGCCCGCGGAAGGGGGACGCCGCGGGCCCCCTCCGGGCAGGCTCACAGGAAGTCCCTCAGCTCGCCGGGGTCGGCGCGCATCGAGGCCCACTCGAAGTTCTTCAGGTCCTGGGCCAGCCTCCGCTCCTGGGCGGGGGGCTTCACTCTGCCCGCAGCGGGAGGGAGGAGGGAGGCAAGGAGGCAATGCGGCCAAGAGCTGAAAGTGTGTGTGTGTGTGTGCGCACCAAGAAGCTCTCGACCCTTTTGAGGCACCTGGAGCCTACCTCGGGAAGAGAAACGCTGGCCGAGCCGCCGAGCATTTCTCAACGAGGGCAACGCAGGACTCCTGGGAAGGACCTTGCCGCATGGTCAGAGATGCGCTCTACTTGGGACGATACCATGTGCACGAGGGTGGGTGGCTTGAGATGGTGTGGGATGAGATGACATGCAGCGAGATGCGTGAGAACCAGCTCGTAGCGATATACCACGCTCCCACATGAGAACGTCCCGAATAGCCAGTGCGTAGCTATTTCGTCATGGCTCTCTCCTTGGTACCTCATCGTGCATATCCACCCCGCAGCGATCACGTACCCTCATCGCGACTACGTCGCCGTTGCCTGCCTCGCATCTTGTGTGCTCATGACCCTGTCCTAGCTGCGTGTGTGCAAGCATACGAGCGAGGCCATGAGTAGACGAAGAGGACCCATAGGGCAAGTCTACTCGATGGAATATCAGGGGCGCCCGTTGTCGCGCGAGTAGCTGGCCGCTAATTGCAAAAAGTAGGACCCAAATGGCATCAAGAACCCCTGGACTTGAACTAGGCCCCTGCCTCCATTTCTGATGATTGCACTTGCCTGTCATTTGATTGGATCCACATTACTTCGGCGTGGATAGATATAATCACATGATCGGTCACTCATTTCAGCTACACCCATCAAACCATTGAGCGAAACTGCTGGATGGGCCAACACGGCGTCACGCAAGATCTGTGAGGGATGACACCGCAGTCTTCCACAAATGTACGTTCATATAGACGTTGCCGGGTATTCGCAAGCAAGGGTCTGGTCGGCTGACCGATAGGATCCCAACTCCGAAGACTTGTGTGAATCATGCGTCCTAGATGCTATGACGATTTCCATGCGGAGATGACGATCCCAAGGCAATCACTCGAGCACACAATTCCCCAACACACAGTCAAGCACGCACGCACGCACGCACCGACCACACACACACACACTCAAACACAATGATATCCTCGTGAGTCTTGGCCGCTTCGGGGCCACCAGGGTATACAACATAATGGTGGTTCTCTTCCCTGAAGGGGCGGAGGGAAGGCATCGGTGCACGAAGAAGACAGTCACCAAAACACAGAGGAAGGAAGCGGGTATAAGCAGAGCATGCGCGCGTGGCGGCGACAAGAAAGGAACACTCCAACACCATGCATCGCAAACCACGTATGTCCGAGAGAACACGCGGCACTCTCAAAACTGCAACGATGTCGTCCTGGAGCTGTGACTGGCGAGTGCCAGGGCGTCGGCGCTGTGTCGTGGCAGCAGCAGTAACCCAAGAGGGTCTTAACACAACCCCCCCAATTGCGCGAAACTATTTTTTTGGCGCGGGCTCATTGACGGATCAGGACCCCCAACAATACTGGGAAAACGAGTTTTTCCTCGCGACGGCCACCGATGATGATCGGGGGGGATGGGGAGCCCTGATGGTGATGATGAAGATGATGATGATGACGACGACGATGAGGAGAAGGACGCGGAGGGGAAAGACGAGTTCGATTGCCAGCCGAGAGCATTGAGGGTAGGGGCCTCGCTAGCATTGACGACCCTCTGAGGTTAGGGGGAGACCCAACACGGCACGCCCCATTCAGAACATAACAAGGGGCTGCCACGGAGCCTTGGGTAAATAGTGAATCTGGGACTTCGCTCCCAAGAAATGTGTCGGGGAAGGACAGCGACAGCAGGCGTGCTCTTAGAATGACGATCGAGAGAAGAGCGTTAACAAACGCAACGAAGGTCGTGAAGAGTTGCCTCCTGGTTGTTCCAGATTGCTCAAAGAGCACCTTTGGGAGAGAGTGCCCATGGCTTCGCTGGCCTCACCTGCCACTCCAGCCTACAATCGTCTCTCACACCAGATCTCAACAAAACCTCCCTCCAACAACCTCCGCATACGAAGCCCATACGCGCTTCTGGAACATAGCATCCCAAGGGGGCTCCTAACCCCCTCCACGGCACACCCGCAAGATACGATGGGCGCTCATTCCTAAACAAACATTACACGTCGTTCATGTCTAATCGTGCTCATTTCTAGTTGTGCTCGTTTCTCATTGTTCCTGGCCCCCCCGTGGCCAGGAAGAGGCCCAGGACAGAACACTTTGAAGTGAGAGAATCTCTTGGCCCCCAGAAAATCAAAGAACTTTCGAAGAAGTAGAAATGAACAATTAGAGATGAGAAGATCTAGGCTCCCAAACAAAGTCAAAGAACTCTCGAATAATCAGAAATGAGCAGTGTGTAAATCCCCTGTTGAGCTACGCCGCCGTGCCCCGAACCACGGAGCGGCGGGCCCTCTGGCCCCTTCGGGCTCCTGCATACGGCGCCGGAAACACATACACCTCAAGATGCACAAATTCCGAGAACCCCTGGGCGCTCCTGCGCATCCCTGACTACCTACCAGACCACCCCAACCCAACCCGAAGACCCGAATTTGAACCGACTTTCGGGTTGGGGGGGGTACGGGTTCCATGTGTGTTTTTCGATGTTCCCCGACCCCCCCCCCACTGGAAATGGAGGGCAAATCGTGGCCTCGCGTTGGGTTGGGGTGGTTTGGTGGGCGGTGAATCCCCGTGTCACTTTTCCTGGCTGCTTGGGGGCGGGGCTTGGAATCCACCCCTCCACCCTCCCTGAGATCCGACGTTGCTCAAAAAACATTGCAGCATCGCCGAAAATCCCGCTAGGACCCACGGATGCCATCTTTCTGACATCTTTTTCAAGCCGGATCGATCTCGGAGGGACCCGGGGCCCGAAACTGAGCGAAAACGCAAGGCTCGAACAAAGATGAGTCGCCCGGATCTCAGGGCTGTCCCACGGGCTGTCCCACGACAGCCCAAAAAGGGACCTTCCTGGGCCTCTCGTTGGGGGTCCCTGTGGCCGTCCCGGATATACCCTGGCGGCGGGCCCAAGAGATACCTTTTTCGGGTGTTGCACGACCGTTCACGACGGTCCAAGACGCACCACATATTGCCCCAAACGGCATCCAAACCTTATGGATGCCATGACAATGGATACTCTAACAATCCGATCATTGAATCAAATATGTGTTTAAAATGTATAAAGCATGTTCTAAAAATGTTTCGAATCTGTCTTTATATATTCTAAACATGTTTGAAACATGTTTTAGTCATATGGGAAGTATTTGGCAGCATGCTTCCTCTCCATTGATCGTCCTCCACAATCCAAGCCCCAAGGAGGAGCCCAAGACTCCAAAGTCATTGAATCTCCATGAGCGTTTGCAGAACTCTGGCGTGCTTGCCTTTTCGCAGCCTACGACCGTCCACGACGGTCCGAGACCCACCAATAAGATGGCCCCCAAAGCGGCCTCCGATTCTCCAAGAGGGGCCCCATGCAGGAGGCCTCCCCGAGATCCAGACCCCGAGACGGCCCCAAGAGACCGCCAGCGGGCCCCCCAGAGGCCACCAGAGCCCCCGAGAGACCACCAGAAACCATCATTTGGGAAACGAACTCTATACACCGACGCTATTTCCGACCCTGCGCTGAAATTCGCACAAGAACGCGGATCCTGGTGTATACGGGAGTCTGGTGTATACATTTGTCGTTGCTTCCTCGCGAAAACGGGAAAAAAGTATACACCAGACCACCCCGACGTCGTCCCCGACCCTCGAAAAGTCGTAGGATTGAAAAACGGCCCGCCACTGGTCATGTATATGTTCCAATTTCCGAAGAATGTCTCCGAGAGGCAAGAGAGGCCCCCAAGAGCTCCCGGAGAGACGTCCAAGAGGACCGCCAGAAACCGCCCGAAAGGCACCCAAGCGGATTCGTGTTCAAGACCCAGACGCGGTGGCGGTACGGACAGACGACCAAGGACGAAATACGCATCCGGGGCTCATGTGAAGACTCCCGAAACCCTGAACCCAAAGATGTTGACGCCTCACTTTTACTTCCGCCGACTTCCGCTGTCGGAACCGCCGCCGTTCTACTACTTCTGCCGCCGTGCGCTAGCTTCGCTGGCATCCGCCGGCAGAACAGCCGCTGTTGTACTTCTGCCGCCTTCCCCCGTAAGCAAAGCCCTGACTGGAACGCACAACGCGTAGCCAATTCCTTAGCAAATCAGGAAATCCACACCGAGCATCTGCCCAGTAAGAGCATCAGACCCTCACGCGAAGCGAGCACAAACAAGGACGGCGGTTCGCTCACCTCGCTGCATCGTTGCAGCAGGGCCCGACCAAGAGCAGGCAATGGTACGCCGATGGCATGCCCATCCCTCAAATAGGCAACATGTCGGATCTCGGGGGACCACAACCCAGCGCGGCACAATCCAGTGCGCTTCAATTGTCGAGCGAACACACATGTGACGCAAGCCGAGCCTCACAGATCACGATCGGGAGCTCCGAGAGATCAACGCGTGGTCGCGTGGGCCTCGTTACGAAAATGGGCCGCCCGGGGGCCCTGAGCTGAGACCCCGTGACGTCTGCGCGCATGCGACATGTTGGGGGCAAGCCTGTACGGGATGTGCGGGGCGTCGCGGCTGCATGGGAAGGCGGCGGCGAAGAGGAACCGGGCGTGCGACTCCACGTTGCCTGCACAATCCCACCGCTCAGCAGTACATGCTTCGATCGACTCTGGAAATCGGCCCAGAAAAATTGGCTCGCCCGGCCGTATCAAAATCGGAATCGGATGAATCAATGCATATCATCGAGCCCGGTACGGGGCAGCGTACAACCCGCTGGGTTGCAAAGTGTTTCGATGACGACGTGGCTGGGCCCTCGTTCGGCCGCGGGGCCCCAGGACAATGTTGGAACTAAGGCCGATTTTGGAATTTCCGATGCATCCCTCACCCCTTTAACATTGAGGCCAAATGGGCCCCTTATCAGTAAGTTGCATTCCGCTGAATATCTCCTTTCAAAATGTCACTGGTCGCCCTCCAGGGCGATCAGAAACTTTACTATGCTACCAAACAAAGGCGACTTCGCTCGAGACTTTCTTCCGCAACATGCATAACTGCCCCTCTTACCACCTAGAAGTGACGATTCCGACTAGGACTTCCTCGCAACATAAGGCCCACAAATCGCTTTCCACGCCGCCCTCGTGAAGTGCCGATCACTATTTCAGAATCCATGGATGGGGTTGAAAACATCGCTCGCCCCGGCGCTGTAATTTTACCACAGTCGCAAGACGAAAGATGTGCGCGCGAATGTGGAGCATGGGAAACATTTGCAAGTGGCACGATTCCGTGCGCAGGCAGCGGTGATAGAACAAAAACGCTCGTAGTGGGGCCCGACCCCCTTCTCTTTGCCTCCGTCGTCGCTTGGGCTCGAAGTATAATGCACCTGATACTCTTTGAGGATTGTGTGTGGGCCGCGGAGTGCCCTGGAGTGCTCCTGCTGTGTTTTGTCAAGCACGGCTGACCGAATTTTTGCCCTCCAACTCCTAGCGACACCACCACCGCCGCCCGACATCCCCAGTCTCCAGCTCGCGCGGGCCGCGAACCGCTCCGCGGGAGGTGCACGCCCGCTGGTGACGGCGGCACCGATTCCCCCCTTAGGAGGGACATCCGACACCCCTCGATACTGCCCCGAGCGTGGCCCCCGGGGGCCACTTGACGACAGGGGAACAAACCATGGCATACTCGGGGATGGACAGACCTCCCTTTAGTAAAACGTGGTTTAGTGAAAACGACCTCGGGCCCAAACCTGGCGGGCGCAAGCCTGGAAAATAACGGCCGCGGCGCCCTCTCGAGAACCGAAAACGGACAATTCACTAATCGACGTGTCACTGTAAGGAGGTCTGTCCACCCCCGAAATACGCAAAAAAGCTCGGAGGTCCGCGCGGATTCCTCGGGTCGGCGCTGCCCCTGGCGCGCTCCGCGCGCCAGGGAGGGCGGGTATACCAGCGCCGATCCGAGGAATCCGCGCAGGCCTCGGGGTTTTTTAGTGCTTGCGTCGTTGCTTGCTCCGTGGCGGCTCCAGCCGTGGCAACGAGAACCTCCCAGGACGAGCAGCGGCTCCGGCATCTCTAGTCGGGTCTGGCGAAAGGGGGGGATAGCAAAGGGGGGGTTTGAGAATCAGCTCACGTAGCTGATGTTCCCGGCGCCTCCCGGCGCCAGAGGCGGCCATGTATCGAGGAATGGGCCCCTCGGCGAGGCCGAAATCAGCTGCATGCAGCAAATGTTGCACCCCCCCCTTCCCAATCCCCCCCTTTCGTCCGTCCCGATCTAGGCAATGAGACGACAGCACCAACGTGAGTACGTGTTCGAAGGTCCCCGCGGATGTCTTGGATCTGCGCCAGCCTCCCCCCTCTCTGGCGCGCGGGCGCGCGCCAGGGGCGGCGCCGCGGGAGGCCCCGGCGCAGAGCCACGAAGTCCGCACGGGCCGTCGAGAGTGTACGCTTACGCTTAAGTCGGGCCTGTCCCCCTACAGGGGGATTCTCGACGAAAAATAAAACATACCCCAAAAAGGTCAAAAATAATCCAAAAATGATCGGGGGACTATGTTTGGAGTATTGTTTGACCTCTTTGGGGCATTTTTGGGGTATCTTTTTTTATTTTTCGTCGAAAATCCCCCTGTAGGGGGACACGCCCGACTGAAGCTCAGGCAGATATTTCTTCCCTCGGGTCCCGACGGGCAGCCCCTCGCCAAAGCGGCGATATGGCAGCCTGAGGGGTGCGCCCTCGGCAGCCGAAGGAGCAATGAGATCGGCACCGAGACGAGGCGATGCCAATCGTAGTCGGCGGCGGACAAACCAACCTTTAGTACACCTCCCCTTAGTGAAAACCCCCTGGGACCGAAACCGACGGACCTGGACCCGCAAAAATGACGGCCGCGACGCCCTCTCGCAAACCGAAAACGGCCAATTCCTGAATCGACGTGTCAGGGTAGGAGGTCTGTCCACCCCCGAATCATAGGGGCAGGGATGTATCCCAGGCTGGTGAAAGGAGGGGGACAGGGACCGTCGAAGGCTCACGTTCATGAAATTCTCATGTCTTCGAACCTCTTCCTCCTCTGGCTGCTTGCCCCGACGGCAGCCCCCAGCCAGCCTCGAGCTGATGCCGATCCCTGAGATCGACAAGCCCAGAGAAAACGACAATGTGAGGGCCGCGCCCTCAGAACGTCAGGGAGTCCTTCTACGACTGGCATCGAGATAAGGCGCTGCCAGTCGTCGGGATGCAGCCGTCGTGCTACCAGCAGGGGACGCACGAGAAGGAACGAAGGGAGCTGTTCTGGCCACGGCGGGCCTATAGGCCACGAGCAGGCTCCACGACCCAGGTCCACGGAGTGGCCAGACATCCAGATAGGGGGCCACGTGCGAACCCTACCCCTACCCCCCCACGATTTCCGTCGGGGGAGGGTGGGGTTCACTTCGCTCGGGAGCTCCCGAGCGAAGTGAACCCCACCCTCCCCCTCAGAAATCGTGGGGGGTGGGGGGTAGGGTTCGCATGTGGCCCCCTACCAGAGCCCCCCCCGAGCCCAAAGCGGTCCTTCCGTCAGCGTCGTGGCCATGGGGATGTGCTCCAGGCTGGCTATGGGGAAGCCAAGAGGTACCGGTGCCGCTACTGGACCTCTCCCAGGGTGCGTTCTGGGCAGGATCTCGAGGCGAATCCAGCGGTGGCGACGAGGGCCTCCCAGGAGGCCGAAAGAGGGGAAAGCGGGGGAAGGGTATACCGGTATCGGTACAGTTTCCGGGGGAAGCCAACACGTACCGATACCGCTACTCCGCGGACCTCGCCGAGGGTGCGTTCTGCCGAGCCTCCCGGGCAGAATCCAGCGGTGGCGACGAGGGCGCCCGAGAGAAGGCCCCCCCAAAAAGAAGAAAAGCACCCCCCCCCATAAAAAAGGGGGGCGAGGGCAGGGAGTCTCTATGGTTGCCTTTCCCTCCTCCGGCTCTTCCTCCTCCGAGGTGCTCCCGGCCGGCGGGTCCGCCCCCCCCTCCGCGCCCAGCGCTCGCGCCAGCCGCAGCGCCACGTCCGAGGGCATCTGGTCCAGGCGTCGCGCCTCCTGCCGCCGCCGGGGGCTCCGGTCGGGCGCGCCCCCCCAAAACAGGCGGACATTCTGGGCGAAGCATCAAAAAGCGAGTCAAACCATGCACCACACAATGCGCAAGCAGAGTCCCCCAAAAATCGTCCCCAGTCTATTCTTTTGTTGACTAATTCTGATTCTTCGCAATAAGAGAGAGAGAGAGAGAGAGAGAGAGAGAGAGAGAGAGAGAGAGAGAGCCAACACACACGCACACACCAACAAATATCGAAACATGGTCCAACAACAATCGTCCCCGGCCTATCTGGTGACTGCTTTGGAGCACCCCTCCGGCAGAGGGGCCATGCCCGACGCAAGGCTGGGGGCCGCGGGAGCCGCCGCGCGGCGGCCCCACGGCGGGGGGCGGGCGGCCTCTCCCCTCGCAGGAGGCGCCGCCGGCGCGCTCGGGGCGCCGCCCCGGGCTCGGTGCAGGTTGGGTATGCTGAGGTCCGGCCGGTCGGTCGGTCGGTCGGGCGTGTGCGAGTGGGCACTCGTGAAGGGGCCCCTGGGGCACACAAATACATACGCACAGATAAAAGGATTCCCCCATAGTTTCCCATAGTTTCTGGGTTTCTGCCTCCCCCCCCCCACTTCCCATGTTCTCCCGTCTTTTCCTGGGAGCGGACGATTCATTGTGCCAGTGTGTATTTCCCCTCCTGAACTTTGCGAGTGGTGGAAAACTCCCGGTGAATACCAGGGGAGTCTGGACGACAAAGGGGCATGATGCCAGAGAAAAAACCCAATCATATTTTGTTCAGGGCCGTGGGGCTGTGGGGTTCCAGGACCATAGGGCTGTAGGTCTATAGGGCTGTGGGTCGGGCATGTCCTCCATACAGGGGGAGTCTGGACAACAAGTGGACATGATGCCGGAGAAAAGCCCCGATCATATATTTTTCAGGGATATGGGGCTGTGGGGCTATGGGGCTCTAGGATCATGGGGCTATAGGTCTATAGGGCTATAGGTCGGGCGTGTCCTCCTACAGGGGGATTCAGGACGACAAATGAAAAGTACCCCAAAAATGATCAAACATATTCTAATATAGTCCGAATATCGTCCCAGGACTACGTCTTGAATCTATTTTCGAACACTTCCCCTGTAGAGTGACAGACATGCCCGGCTTCATGTTCAGACTCAAGAGAGACAAGAGTACTACTGTCACCAGCTAGGGGGGTGGCCGCTCCCACCCTCTCGAACTGGTGGCACGTCCTTCCGGGAACTCTCTCTGGAGGCATGCCCGGAGCGAGGTGCCACAGGATAAAGAAAACGGCCCCGGGGGAGGAGACCCAGACCTCTGGGGAGCCGGAGTTCGAACGAGAGCACGACAGCAAATGTCTGGGCTCGTGTCGTGATGACTGGAGCGGTGGCTCCCGAGATCGCGCGGAGAGTTCGCCCGTGAACGCTTGTGGCCTTCGGCTGCCGCTGATCGTTCGATATCGGCCAGCCGCGGGCCGCTGGCGGCGCCCAACTTTGCATGCCCGCACCCGCGGCGTCGCCGCGCCAACGCGGCGCTAACCTGCCAGCGACCGAAGGACAAAACAAGGCAGGAGAACGACAAAACTGCACAAACCTGAGCTGTCGGAGGTCCTCGCGGCTCTCCTGGGTCGTCGCTGCCCCGCCCCCCCCCCCCGGCGCGCGGGACCCCCCAGTGAGTGTACGTATTTTTGTTGGGCTCCTCGGCAAACATCCCTCGAACCTCCAACACTTCTTGGACCCCCGAGAGTGAGTGTAGGTGTTTTTGTGGGACTTCTCGGCCAACATCCCTCGAACCTATCATATAATGGTGCGGCATGTCTAGACCCCGAGACCAAGCGCAGACCCCTGGACTGGCGACGCCGTGCCCTGGCGGGCACGGTGCTTCACGGCATCCAAGGAAAACAGATGTGCTGTAGATTTAGGTCGGGCATGTCCTCCTACAGGCAGACTGTGGACGACAAATACCACCGAAAATGCTCAAAAAAAGTCAAACATAGTAAAAGCATCGTCCCCAGACTACTGTTTGACTATGTTTGACAACTCCTCCTGCAGAGGGGCACGCTCGACTCGGCTTTCGTCAAGAGCTCCACGGCCCGTGATCTTGCGGCCGCGCTCCTGCAAATACCAGCGCCCCTGCTCGTTGGCGTCCGCGGCACTGGCGAGAGCGTTGGCCAACCGAGCGATGTCGCTTCTCCTGGGCCGGCCATGCGTCCCACGTCCCCTTGCCCTCCCTCTCTCTCTCTCTCTCTCTCTCGCTTGATCTCTCTGTCTCCAGCAGGCGCTCCTTTCCACAGCATTGTGCACTGCGCCTAAACGACGAGCTTACCAAGTTGAGACTGTTTTGATTCCCCGAGGCCGAGCTCCCCAAAGAACCCTCGATGAATGTATGTCGGCGCCTGTAACACAAACAAGAAAGCAATAAGCCAGCGTGACCCAAAACGATAACTTCTCGCACTGTGGATGTGTAAGCTACGTGGTGACAACCATGTGGTGCAAGCACTGTGGTGCAGTATAGGTGGGGTAAGCTAGCGGCGGCCACGAGGCGGTCACGTGGCAAAACCTCGCAGGACAGCACCCAGTGCACGAGGCGTCCACGAGGCGGCCACGAGGCGGCACCGCGGCGAAGCCTCGCCAGACACACCCGGCGCACGAGGCGGCCACGAGGCGGCCACGGGTGGCAGCGTGGCAAAAAGCTCGCCGAACCCACCCATCCAATTCCACAGGGGCTGTTAGGGGCAACAATAAGAACCTCTAAAGGCAAGCGCTGATTGGGTAAGCAACGCACGGCATGGCAATGCAACGCAAAGCAGTGCACCGCAGGCAACGCATTGAAGAGCAAAGGAAACCAATTCAGCGCAAGACTACGCAGAACAATTCCATGCAATGCAATTCAAATTAGTTCAAACCGAAGCAGGTCAGAACACACCAACGCACATCACATCACATCGAATAACGACATAAGACACACTGGACCGTAGCGTACCGCAGAGCTCCGCGCCACGCTGAAAAGCAACACGCAAATCAGAGACATCGAATGCAAACCAACGCTGAATCTGATTTTGCATGGTTTGTGCGCACATTGTCGCAGGTTGATATATGCTTCAGTTGGTGTGCAATCTAATCTGCATGCAGCCGTCCTACCTCATGCGACAAATGTGTGCAGCCCTAGCTGTTTGATGAATTCGTGTTTGATGGACCAATGTCTGCACATATGTTGTCCAGCGTGGACCCTAAACCGTGTTTCTAGCAAGTCATGTTGTGCAAGGTATGTGCAATATATGTGCAATGTTTGTGGGGCGATGTGTGTTGTGCAATATACGTTGTGCAATATATGTCGTGCAAAATATGTTGTGCCATCTGTGGGGTACAAACCATGTTGTACACTTTGTTGTGCAACATGTGTGGTGCAGTCTTTGTGGTTCTATATACGCGGTGCTCCTGATGCGGGGCAATATACGTGGTGCAAGCTATGTGGTGCGATCTATGCGGTGCAATTAATTTCTTTCGCAATGAATTGTCGACTCCACTGCTCGCGCAAACATCCCACCCACCCACCCGCAACTTGGTTTGCAAAATCTCTTAAGACCGTGACGGTGGGTACCACATGGCACTTGGCAACAACAGCGACGCCGACGACGACAGCGACAACGACGATGACGACGCCGCCGACAACGACTACGACGACATCGACGACGTCTCCAACGACTTCGACGACGCCGACAACGACGACGACGACGACAACGACGACACCGACGACGACGACACCGACGCCGACGACGACGACGATGACAACGACGACGACGATGACGACGCCGACGATAACGACGACACCGACGACGACGACGACGACGTCAACGACGCCGACGACGACGACGACGACGACGGCGGCGACGACGACGCCGACGTCGACGACGATGAAGACGACAACGACGCCAACGCCGACGACGACGACGAAGACGACGACGACGTCGCCAACGAAGACAACGAGGAAGGAGGGAGGACGACGACGGCGACAACGACGACAACGACGAGGGAGGAGGGAGGACGGCAACGACGACGACAACGACGACGACGACGACGGCGACGAAATAGGAGGGACGACGACGAGACGCCGACGACGGACGACGACGACGACGAGGGAGGAGGAGGAAGGACGACCACGGCGACAACGACGACGGAAACGACCACGGAGCCAAAGAGGACGACGACGACGAACACGAAGAAAGACAGAGGACGACGTAGGCGACGACGACGACGACAACGACGCGGGAGGAGGGAGGACGGCGACGACGACGACGACGAGGCAAGAGCGTGCGCGCACGCTTTTGTTGAAAATCCGTGTTGCGAAACCTTGTGTGTTTGCAGGTTTGTTGGATACACGATTTTGAAATCCTTCCGAAACCGATGGGTTTTGAAGGTTTTCGGCATACGCGCGCGACGACGCGAGCGTCTGCACTTCGTCCCACTTGTTGCAAAGGATTCTCGCGACGGCACACGCGCAAGGGCGTTCGACAGATTTCGACATGCGCGCGCGCGAAGCCCGTTTGGTAGCATTTTGCGAAAATCTTGAAAAACCTATGGTTTTCTTAAGATTTCGCAGGAGCTTTCGCGGAAGCTTTTTTAGCAACTCTGTGGTGCGAAACCCTTTGTTTGTATGTTTTTTTGGAAACTCGATTGCGAAATCCTTCCCGCACCGAAGGTTTTTGAATGATTTCGGCATGCGCGCGCGACGACGCGCGCGTGTGCACTTTGTCTCATTTGTTGCAAGGGATTCGTGAACAAGTGCTATGTTAGAACGAAAAATGTCACCGCATAGTGTTTTCACAAGGGAACCTCAGGGGGGGAACCCGGTTTGGCTGGGATGGTATGATTTCATATTTAGGATGGACGAGTGTGCAGAATATATATATATATATGAAATCAGACTATCACAGGGGGAGCCGATAAGTCCGGGGGGGGGTAGAATCTATTAATCTTTCAGAAAGGAGAATTAATCATTGACCGTCTTGAAGCTGTCCTCTCTACTGCTCGTGCACGCATCCCACCCTCCCATCCGCAACTTGGTCGCAAGACCTCTTAAAACAAGACCGTGACGGTAGGTACCGGATGGCACTTGGCCACGACACCGACGCCGACGACGACAGCAACAACGACGACGACGACGGCGCCGCCGACACCGACGACGACGACACCGACGACGTCTCCAACGACTTCGACGGCGACAGCGACCACGACGCCAACGAGGACGACGACGACGACGACGACGACGCTGACGACGACGATGACAACGACGACGACGACGACGCCGACGACGACGACGCCGACGACGACGACGACAAAGACAACGACGTCGCCAACAAAGACGACGACGAGGGAGGAGGGAGGACGACGACGGCGACAACGACGAGGGAGGAGGGAGGACGGCGACGACGCGAACGACGAAGAAGGAGGAAGGACGGCGACGCCGACGACGACAACGACGAGGGAGGAAGACGACGACGACGACAACGACGACGACGACGACAGCGACGACATAGGAGGGACGACGACGAGACGCTGACGACGGACGACGACGACGAGGGAGGAGGAGGAAGGACGACCACGGCGACAACGACGACGGAAACGACCACGACGCCAACGAGGACGACGACGACGACGAACACGAGGAAAGACAGAGGACGACGTAGGCGAGGACGACGACGACGACGCGGGAGGAGGGAGGACGGCGACGACGACGACGACGAGGCAAGAGCGCGCGCGCACGCTTTTGTTGAAAATCCGTGTTGCGAAACCTTGGGTTCTTGTATGTTTTTTGGGCACACGATTTTGAAATCCTTCCGAAACAGATGGGTTTTGAAGGTTTTCGGCATACGCGCGCGACGACGCGCGCGTCTGCACTTCGTCCCATTTGTTGCAAAGGATTCTCGCGACGGCACACGCGCAAGGGCGTTCGACAGATTTCGACATGCGCGCGCGCAAAGCCCGTTTGGTAGCATTTTGCGAAAATCTTGAAAAACCGATGGCTTTCTTAAGATTTCGCAGGAGCTCGCGCGGAAACTTTTTTAGCAAATCAGTGTTGCGAAACCCTGTGTTTGTATGTTTTTTGGAAACTCGATTACGAAACCCTTCCGGCACCGAAGGTTTTTGAAGAATTTCGGCATGCGCGCGCGACGACGCGCGCGTGTGCACTTCGTCCCATTTTTTGCAAGGGATTCGTGAAAAAATGTTATGCTAGAACAACAACTGTCACCGCATATTTGTTTTTTTTAAGGGAACCTCAGGGGGGGAACCCGGCTGGCCTGGGATTGTATAAATTCATATTTAGGATGGACGTGTGGTCAGAATCATATATGATTTACATACCCGAAAGGGGGAGTGATAACGCGGGGGGGGGTAGAGTCTATTCTGTTTTGAGAAAGGAGAATGCATGCTTTGCAATCTGTAGGGTGCAAACTGTGTGGTGCGATCTATGTGTTGCAGTCCTCGTTGAGGCGACGCGGCGGCAACGGGGCGGCAACAGCGAGCACATAGCCGCCAGACCGCCAGCCAGGCCCAGCTGCTTAGAAGTAAGAGACCCAAGTGGAAGCACTGTTTGGGGAATCCACTGACAAGAGTAAAGAGAGAGAGAGAGAGAGAGAGTGAGAGGGACACCAAGAAAGAGGAGGGAGATCTGTATCTCGGATGGGCTGTTTTTTTCTCAAGGAATTGCCAGGCGACAGCGGCGAATGGGCCGCACCGCTCGCCCGCCCTCGTCTGGACCCCCAGGCTTCTAGCAAGGAACGAAGACCACCGCCACCGAGAAGCCCTCGGGAGAGACCCGCCCCTGGGCGGGGGCACGCCCGAGCATCGTCCCGTACCGGGTGACGCTCAGGCGCGCCACCGCCCCGTGGCCGGGCCCCCCCGATTGGTTTTTTTCGGTGGCGGGGGCCCCCGCTTCCCAGACGTCCTCCGTCGCGCGCTTTCGCGCACCAACGCCTGGGTCATCTCATCACGATACGAACCTATATATTTTCCGTCGCATTTTGGTTGCCGCACTGTGGCTCCCCCGGGGTCTGGACCCCTTCCCTGGGTCTGTCTCTTCATCCCGAGTCTGTTTTGACTGTCCCCGGGCTCGGTGAGGGCCCCTAGCCCTAGGGGCCGAACAAATTGCAAAAACCTCCCGCCTCGAATTGTTCATAGCGCCAGGAGTGAAGAAGCCAGAAACATAAACTTTTTTAGCGTTCGCCGCGCGGAGCACCAACAATCTATGTTTATGGCGTCGTCTCTTCTTCGGAGGATTCCAGGGCTCCACTCTGAGGGCTCCCAGGAGGATGCCATGCCGGCCCCTGCCCCAACCCAGCCCCAGACATGCGACGTCCTGGTTTTTTCAGGGCGGCGTCCCTGGAAGCCCCGACCCTTCCCCCCCGGGACCCGTTTCTCGTCCTGGCTCATGTTTCGACGGTCCCGAGGCCCGGCGAAGGCCCCCCGGGGCCGAAAGTAGCCAGAAACCTCCCGTCCTGACATTTTTTAAACCACGCGATCGTGTCCGGGACGCCAGGCCGCCCCGCGCGCGCACGTCCTCAGGGCTCGCCCGCTGGACACCGCGCTGGCGGTGGAGTCCAGGTCCTCCCCCGGGCGGCGCGCGGGGCCCGGCGGAGCGCCAGAGCGGCAGCCCGGGGGGGACGGCACACCACGCGGGACACGGTGGGGGGCATTTGTCTTTTTCTAAACTCTTCCTCCTCCTCCTCCTCCTCCCCCTCCTCCTCCTCCTCCTCCTCCTCCTCCTCCTCCTCCTCCTCTTCCTCCTCCTCCTCCTCGTGCTCCGCCTTCCTCCTCCTCCTCCTCCTCCTCCGCCTCCTCCTCCGCCTCCTCCTCCTCTCCTCCTCACGGGTGAGCGGGCCCACCCGTGATTTGAACGTCATGCACAGAGGCGCGGGCGGGGCCCCCAGGAACGAGCCCACCGACTAGGGCTCGGCTTCCTGGGGCCCACTGTCCCCGCGCGCCGCTGCCGCCCTCTGCTCGCGAGCCAGGCGCCCGCGGTCCCGCGCCTCCTCCAGGGACGCGAAGCCGACGGTGGGGGCATTGGAGAAGGAACCCGTCGATAAGGAATCCAGGGCCTGACAGCCAGGGGGAACGCCAATTGAGGCTGTGTCGTGGACAGAATCGCCGCCCTCATCAGATAAGGAATCCACTAGGGTCTGAAGCCTCCTGGGCACATTCCTCAACGAATGCCCCCCCACCATACGGTCAACCCATATCATAAGGTTGCGCGGTGAGAATGCGAGGGCCAAGGGCCTTGGGAGGCCCATGTGGACGTTTTCCGAACGAGGTTGGCCGGCGAAAGTCGCTGAAAGAGTGTGCGGAAGGGGCAAGGAGGATGCAAGGGTGACCTTGGAAACGTCGCTCCTCCTTACTGTGCTGATTGACTGTACGTCGACTCCTATCCCCGGCGTCGAGGGGTGGCGTCCATCCTGGATAATTAAGGGTGCGTCTGAATAGCCCCCTTGGGAGTGTATCCCAGGGTTTCCCCATTTTTCTGAGCGGGCAAACTTTTCGGGCGACGACAGTCTGCTGTGCACGTCGGCCTCGGCTCCAATAATCTTTTGAACACATCCGACAGTTTGATATTTCGATGTCTCTGGGTGTCAAGACGGGCCGTCCCGAGGCCTGGTGAGGGCCCCTGGAGGCCGAAAATAACAAAAAACCTCCCGTTGTGACTTTGCTCAAGTCCCGAGGAGGCCTGGGTCTGGGGAGCCACGATGCGAGCAAAAACGCTACGGTGGTATGTCCTTCTCGCGGGAAAGAAGCAGGACAGCGGAGAGGCAAAGCAGGGCAAGACGGTCTGCCTGCCTGCTCCGGGTTCTGGAACGGTCCCCTGAAGGGCAGACAGAGAATCAAGCGCAGCATCGGTCCAACTCCGTGGCAGGCCTATATTTTAGGTCGGGCATGTCATCCTACAGGCGGATTTGGAACGACAAACACAATCAAACAATACAAACAAATGTTACACATAGTCGAACAATCTTCCCCTGACTAATTGTTTGGCTACTTGTGAATATTCCTCCTGTAGAGGGACAGGCCCGTTCAAGGCTACACACCACATTCCCTCCCCCAGGTGGCAGCTCGTGCATCACGTGAGAAGTAAGAGACAACAAGAGGACCTACCGTCAGCGATAACGCGAGGAGGGGAGGGACGACGAACGGCGGCAGCGGGGCGGAGCAGGCGGAAAGAGGGGAGGAAGACGGCGGAGCGGGCAGTGGCGGAGCAACACCTCCTGCTGCGGCTAGGGCGTGGCGCACTCCCTCCAGGTGAGCCGACGAAGTCTGCTCCCAGTGGCCACGTACGGCGAATAACAACACGAACGATCAGTATCCTGAACAGTCACCCCACATACAAGTTTCCACTGAACTCAAGAACTACAAGCCCCTCCCGAAGCCGCAGAATGCCTTATGTCAGCGTCTTGGCTATGTGGGCTCTCACACTGGGCTGCCACATCTCCTGGCGTGCTTGAAACTCCCGTGGGGGGTCGAGACCCAGATAGACGTATCCAATGGCAATGCTCAACCCCAACGCTGACTAGAATAGTCTAGATCCACCCTACACCTCCCACGCCAACTGCGACTTGACCTCCCCTGGGCTCGCCTCGGGACCCGAGCGGGCTGGGCTGGAGCAGCGAGCCGCCCCCAGACAACCTTGAGGCCAGCAGCGCCAGGCTCTGCTGAGGAAAGGAAGGGCGCGCCGCTTCGGTCCCGCCCCCCCCCCGGGCCACCCTCAACTGGCATGACGCAGACGGCTCCTGAAAGAAACGGGTCCTGTATCCCCGATGTTGTCCCCAGGGCCGACTTCTTGTCCTGCGGCGTTCTGACAATTCCGGGATCCGCGGAGGAATCAGGGAAGCCCAAAACTAAAACAACAGTACTTCATGGCGACTGAGCCTGGCTGCAACCAGTCCGCCCTGCACACCAGCCCTGCGTCAACGACGGCGGCACTCCTGGCTCAAGTGCTGCATTGTGGCCCAATACGTAGCAGGCATCCGCGTGAACACCAGCCGAGCCGCATCTCCTGGGCCAAGCGCTCGGCAGGCGGCTTCGCGAGCCCACGCGACGCGGGCTCAGCATTCAGGCCATCAAGGGGTCGAGTTAGGCAAAGACCAGGTACGATTCGCACAACTACATCAAACTACACCTTGAGACACGTGGCAACTATATGCTGACCTTCGTTGAACCAGCGATAGCGAAGCTGAAGTATGAACGGCCAAACTAGGACATACGGTACAAAACAAACGCACAAACGCTGCGTGTGTAAACATATATATATATAATGATAACAGAAACACACAAGACCAAACGCCACACGTAACTAACGTACGTAATGAATCGATTGTGCCGATGCCAGGACGGACGACGCTTTGCCATGCCGTGCCAGGCGAATCGAATGCATGCGTGCTGGACAAAGTTACGCAAACGCAGCCTAAGACGGAAGCTGAACATTAGCCAAAGGTAACACATGAGCGTGACAAACTCAGACAGATCAACACAGGTCAGGCGAGGCGAACGACAAATCTGAACCTGCTACGGCTACACCTCTCAGGCATCGACAGGTGAGGTAACATCCAAGGCTGAGACAACGGCGAGTGCTGAATGCAAACGTCTATCTGAAACTGGACACACCTGCAATTGCGCAACACGCTACAACCCGAACGCGCAGTATGCATCCGTTTGTCACAGTGCGTAAAGCACATGGTGCGTCGGGCATGTGCCGCGTGTGTAATGTTGCTTTCGCGCGAAGCCTCAATCTGGGCCCCTGGCGCATCGAAAGATTGTCCTGCGCGTGCGCTCCAAGGGGAAGTATGCTTCCATTACATCACCCCCCATCCCTGCCCGAGAGCAAATGTAGATCCGCGCGGCAGCGAACGGAATATGTCAGGGCTGCACTGGCGCTTCGCGCCACGCAACTTCCACCCTCGAGTTTCCCGCGCGGGTACGACGATATATATATATATATATATATATACATATATATATATATATAAAGAGAGAGAGAGAGAGAGAGAGAGAGAGAGAGAGATAACTAACAAGCAAACGGCATACAACATTGTAGCCTGCGTAAACCCAAACAGTGTTTCTAGCCGTACGCCACGCCGTGCGCGGCAGTCTATGCGGTGCAACATACGCGGTGCAATCTATGTGAACATGTACAGATCTTTATATATACATATGCTCTGAACACTCTCGCTTGCCAACGCAGATGGATTTTCCAGAGAGGTAGCAGGCTGCCAAGGGTGGACGACACTGGTGCTTGCTGCGAACGGAACTTATAACAGAGCGCGCTCGCTCCCCAGCTTTGACGACACATATAATGAAAGAAAGGAAAGCAGGAGGAGGGGAGGGAGGTGGTGCACTTGAGCCCGATGTCCATGGATGCACATCGGTTTATCGAGGCGGCTGCGCTACAACTTAGAGCACTAACGTTTGAAACAACTGAACCCTGCTCTGAACACTCTCGCTTGCCAACGCAGATGGATTTTCCAGAGAGGTAGCTGGCTGCCAAGGGTGGACGACACTGGTGCTTGCTGCGAACGGAACTTATAACAGAGCGCGCTCGCTCCCATCTTCCCGAATCAATCCTGGCCAAGCCGCATGAGCTTGCTCACAAAGTCAAAGACGCGAGACGATTGAGCTGGATTCTGTCGGCAGCCTGCACAAGCAAAGAAGCGGCACCTCGGGCGAAGGAGTCAGGGTACTCTTCTGCCCGGGCTGTAAGGTTCCTGGGGTCCCCGGGTCCGCGGCCCTGGAGGGCCACGTGAGGCCGGAGCGTGCGACTGCACATCCCTTGGACCCCAGAACACCGTTTGCAAAGTGCTTTAGGCGGAGCCCCTACATTCCACCCCACGACTTTAGTGGGCTTCTTCCAGGCACGATTGTGTTGGCACATGTGCGTCACAAACTCTTTACAACTGTCTAGGCGCGTGAGGTCTAGAAGGGCGGGACACTGCCAGAGGAGACTAGACTGGGGGTTCTCCATTGCCACTGGGATCCCTGCCTTCAAGCACGCACGAACCACACATACTGAAAAGAGAGCTGTTGCATTGCCGAACTGCACTTTGACTGCGTTTTTGTCAGAGAGGTCGGGCCGACCATATATATGCTGAGGCGTGCGGAATGTGTTTCGGCTGGCAACGCTCCACGTCGAACACGGGGGGGCGAGCCACGCGGCCCGCGCGACACGACTCCCGATCCAACCTCGAATTACTTTAAGAGCTGCGTCGGATGACAGATCAAAAGCAGGGTCAGCCTTGACATCGAGACGGAGAGCCGGCAATCCGCTCAACCTCTCCAGCCATTTCCCGACGCGACCTGTCCCGGCAAAGAGGTCTGAAAAAGTCTGTGCCCTCCGAGGCTGGCGGCCCAGCGCCTGGTCTAACGCGGCCTTGAGCCTGCGTCTGACCGACGCGGCCGACAGCTGGAGGGCAGAGCCAAGAGTGTCTCCTGAGCGCCAGAGCTGGCCGGCGGCCAACGCCGCGGCCTTTTTGCCCCTGGAGGCGCGGCCACGGCCTTGCGCTTGGTGGTCAGCGCCTCGAAGTTGGCGTCCACGTAGTCTCCGTACTGCTTCGTGTCGGGCGCCAGCTGGTCTAACTCGCGGAGATACCTCGCGTGCTTTTTGTACGGTCGTGTTGACGACTCTTGAGCGTGCCTCAGCCTCTCCTGGATGGTCTTCATGTCCCGACTCTGGTGGAGGGCGTCGGCGCTGGCGGCTCCGTGGCGCACCTGGTAGGGGTTCAAGTCCGGGAGGCCAGCCAACTGCGCCACCTTGCGGAACAGCATTCGGAATTGCGCGGCTGAGAAGGACCACAACGGCTGACTCGGCCCGGCACGACGTACCAGCGCCTGCAGCAGCGGCCCCATCGCCGTCACCCTGTCGCTGTCCAGCAGGCAGCCCTCGTCCCACTGGCCGGTCTTGCTCCTGGGCTGCTTCTCCTCGTGGTACAGGAGCAGCGCCCAGTGAGACACCCCCTTGGACCGCTGGGGCGGGATGAGCGAAGAGCCGGTCATGGAGATCAAGTCGCTGGGGAGCCGAAGGTAGGCGCACCACGCCACCTCCAGGGCCATCGCCAGCTCCTGCATCCCCAGGAACAGCGCAGCGCCCACCAGAGCCGCCAGCCCTGGCCGCGGCAGGGGCGCCCGCGACTGGCCGGGGGCCCGCTTGCGGAAGCCTCTCAAGGCTGCGCGGGCCCTGGGCAGCGCCTCCACGGACTGGTACAGCCCGTGCACGTCGTAGTACTTGACGGCTGCTATCAGCTTTTCTCCTTGATCGTGATTGTAGCCCTCGAAGAAGAGCGAGTCCATGTGGGCGGACAGGGCCTGGTCCATCTCCTCCGGCGTCTCCAAATTGAGGTCCTGCTCCTCGGCCCACATCTCGAACTCGCTCAGGATGACCCGGTAGTAAGCCACCGTCTGCGGCTGTGCCCGCGATGCCTGCATGTAACCCAGGCCCGCGGCCGCCGCCTCCTGAGCTGCCTCTCTCTGCGTCTGCCTCAGCGTCGCTCGTCGGCTCCTCCTCGCCTGAGCTGCTTGAAGAGCTGCTCCACGACGCCTCGGCAGCTCCACTTGGCGGCGACTCGGCCGGCTCGACCCGCCGACCGAAGGCCGCAGCAGGCTCGTCCAGCCAGGTGTCCCCGAGGCCGCAGAGGCCGGCCGCCTCTGCCCCGCCTGGCTGGCGGAGGAGGTGGTTGTCGATCTCCCCCTCGAGCGCCAGGTCGAGGCAGGCGGCGGCCGCGTGAGCATCAAGGTACCATGCCGATCGTGGATCTGACCGAGGGTCCCGCGGCTCGGGCCGAGATGGCCACGCTCTCGACGGTCGGTCTGCTGGGTTGATCTCTGACGCTATCCATCTGAAACAACAGTGAAAGTTGGCAAACAAACTGAGTGCAAGAACCTCTTGGCACGTACGATTGACTGTTGAAGTAGATCCCGGGCCCTTGCTGAGGGCCAACACCATGGACATGTTATCACAAAAGAACAAGTGACGAGCTCCCTGGGATGCCCGGGAACGTAGACGATGTCGAAGCCCCAGTGCAACCCCTCGCCCCTCAGTACGCAGGATGTTCTCATGACGAAGCCAACGACCTTTTGCGCACAGGCGCCAGCTGCTGTCGTCGCCCATCTGGCTGGGCGTGATATGGTCGAAAGTGACTCCTGCCTGGCGAGACATTGGACGCTTTGGTCCCTGCTCCTGCGGCAGGCCGAGCGTCTGGGCGCGAGCAGCGATGGCATCTGAGACACACCACCGCCACTTCTCGGCCTGGCCCGCCGCGGCCCTCACGCTCTCCAGGTCCCAGTCGGTCTCCATCGCGCCGTACCCGCCGAAGTCGTGGCGGCTGGCCCCGAGGCGTCGGACGCGGTCACGACCGTGCTGTAGGGCCGCTTGGCGTCCACGAGCGCGAAGCAGACCAGGCCGCGGCCCGCCGCAGCTCGGCCTCCACGCAGGGCCAGAGCCTCCACCTCCTGGAGCCGGCCAGGGCGATGTACCTGTAGGTCTGCGCGAACACACTCAGCAGTTCACGCCGCAGGATCGCTGCCCAGCACCAGTGGCCAAGGAGATGCCGAAGCTCGTCTCCCGAGGCCCACCCGCGGGAGGCCGTGTGCAGGAGAGCCAACCTCAACTTCCACGTCCGCGACCGAGAAAGCCGTATCTTGCCAGAGGCGACCTCGAAGCTCAGGCCTGCGAAGGTGGTGTCCGAGCCAGCCGCCTCCACGCCCTTGCACTTCAGGCCCAGCGCCTCCAGCTTCGCGGCGACCCGCTCGCAGTCGGAGGTCACCAGGTCAGCCTCCAGCCCCACCGCAGCGACTCCGTCCACGTAGACGGCCACACGGTTGCGGTCCGTCACTGACGGGGCTGCACGGCGGTCCTGGATGAAATCGGAGAGGGCGAAGCCAGCAGCCTGAACACCAGCCATCACCATGCATTGGCAAAAGTAGAGACTCCACGTCCACCCCATGGGAAGCACCTCTAGGCAAGGCGACGCCCACGCGTCGATCCCTGGCGGCAGCTGGTCTGAAAAGGTCAGGCCTCAGCTTCAGCAGGGTGGGAAGGCGGACGGCTCTCAAAACGAACATCTCCTGCGCCCCCCGCGGCAAGCCGATCCTGTAGAACGCGTTGTCCACGTCGGCCTGAGCGAGGTGCAACTCCTGGTCTATGGGGACCTCCAACGCTGACCAAGCCCCCGCCGTCGGGAGCACAGCGTGCGCTGGAGCTTCAAACAAGTCATTGACACGCCGAGGGTCAATAATTAAACGCTGCATACAATTCGATTTGTGCACAAAGAAGGCACCCACAGTCTCCTCCCGCTGCTGCTTCAGGGAGACCACGCCAGCGTCCAACAGGTCACCGACGAACTGCGCGCAGGTAGATCGGGAACGAAACTTGCCGTCGTAGTGGGGCTTGGGCGCCTGGCTGCCGCCCTCGGGCTGTCGCTTCAACAGCTGCCTCCATCCTACCCATTGCTGCAAAGCTTCTCCCTCCAGGATGCGGCTCCCATCAGCGAGGCCGCCCCCCTTCGGCAGAGAGACCAGGGACCGGTCGCATGACGCGATGTGCTCCGGCTCGAAGACGTAGCCGTGCCCAGGTCCGCACAGCTCTCGGTGGGCTGCCGCGGCGGCGCAAGCTGGCGGTGCCCCGGCGTCCTCCACCACGCGCCTGACATGCTCCAGCCCGCGCTCCTGCGCGAGCGAAGACTTGCCGTCGGCGGGCAGCGACCCGTGGCCATACAGCTCATTAATTGAGACCAGAACTTCCTGCATCCAGGCGTGGAGGTGCTCCTTCTTGCGGAGTCGGCCCCTCGCAGCTCGGCCGCAGGCGCCCGCAGGGGGCGCGGGCGGCGGGCCCGCAGGGATAGCCACTGGAAGCAGCTCCCGCGGGACCGCCATGGGAGCGCCGTAGGCTACTTGGCCCCCCGGCCGCCACCGCGGCCGCGTCCTCCGCCGGCGCCTCCGTCGCCAGCAGGTGCAATCTCACCGACCTTGTCCATCGGCCTGCGGATCTCGGCGGCCTGGGCGTTCACCTTCTGCTGCAGCCCCTGGGCCGCTGCGGATGAGCTCCCACCCGCACCCCCTCCGCCGGGGGCACGCCTTGCCTGCCTCTCCTCCTTCAACTTCCTGCGCTCCTTCATCACGGCGGCCTCCTTGTGGAGCTGCTCGGTGATGTGATCCGAGAGGTCCGGGCTCACCATCACCAGGCCGCGCGTGAGGCCGGTCCCCATGTACAGGAACTCATCCTCCGCGAACTCGTCCCCGCCGTGCTTCCCCAGGATCTTGTCACGATGCCGCATCTCCGCGAGCTGCGCCCTCCTCAAGAGCAGCTCGAAACTCGCTAGCTCGGTGATGTTGAGCTGGTCGTGCACCACGGCGAGCTCTATCATTATCATCGCCAGCTCGTGGTCCTGACAACCGATGTCCTGACCACCCACCCTCGCTTCATGTCTCCATTTCGTGTGCCGCGCGCGGGGGTGGGTGTCTTGCTCAGCAATGAAATCGAGACACCACCGGGCGGTCCTGGGGCCAAGGATTGGCCACGCCGCCCAGCTTGTCACAGTCATCTCTCTCACACTATCCTTGAATGGGCGCCGTCTCTCGCCACTCGGGCTCTGGACGATGCTGAGCACGCGGGCATCCGAGTCCAAGTCGTCCTCGACGCCTGAGCTCCTCCTCCGCAGCAGCACCTCTGAGCCCTTCACGGCGAGCGCGCCGACGTCGCAGACAGCGAACTCATCAACGTTCAGGTTGCCCAGCAGCGTCTTGCGGGGGGTGCCGCCCGTGCTCCAGACGACCTGCCAGCCGTCGGGCGTCGGGGGCGGCAACGCCCGCGATCCGACCTCAATCAGATTCGCCACCGCTCCACCCCCAGCTGCCACTACTGCCAGCCGGGGCTCCAGCCACTGGTCGCCGATGCACAGCTTGATCATCTTGGCGTACTCCAGCGGCGTGGCGCTCCAGTCCGTGCCATACACGCGCGTGCGGTTGGTGAACCGGGTGCCGAGGAGCGTCGCCCGATCTGGTCGGCCCTCGTCGTCGCACAGGATCAACCCGCTGAGCGGGCCCACGTCCAGGCAGTGAGGGTAGGCGTCGCCGTCCGGGGTCCCGCACCACCATATCTTCCCTGCTGCTATCTGATCGGGGGCCGCTTGAACTTCCATGATGGCCTGCAGATCGGCGGCGGTGGCGGGAGCGATGGCGACGCGGGCCTGCCAGTCCTGCCCATCCCCCCACTACACGAGCAGCCTCCTGCCGGCCTCCACAGCCATGGGGACACCCACAGCACAGGGCACTCGCTAGGAGGAAACCGAGGATGAACGAGGTGCTCGCCAGGCCCCGCGTCCCACCGAAGAGATCCAGCACTGCTACGCACTCGCCCGTGATCGCAACCACGGGCGCCAACACACTTCTGATCGTCTGAGAGGCTGTCCAGCCTCGGGAGAGAATGTTCCAGGAATTGGAAAGAAGGGCAAGCTGCATGCGGACTGGCCGCAAATTAATGCACTTGAGCCCGATGTCCATGGATGCACATCGGTTTATCGAGGCGGCTGCGCTACAACTTAGAGCACTAACGTTTGAAAAAACTGAACCCGATGTGTTGTGCAATCTATGCTGTGCAGCGTATGCTGTGCAATCAATGGTGCAACATTTGTGGAGCCATACATGTGGTGCAGTCGTTGTGGTGCAATGCTGGTTACGCAGAACGTGTGGTGCAATCTACGTGTTGCAGGATATGTGGTGCAAACTCTGTGGTGCAATCAATGTGGCGTGTAATACATGTGGTGCTAAAGACGTGGTGCCATCGACGTGATACAAACTATATGGTGCAACATGTATGCTGCACTATGCGGTACAATCGCCGTGGTGCAGAGTGCGTAGTGCAATATATGTTGCGAACCTATGTTGTGCAATACATGTGGAGCTATCCACGTGGTGCAATCTATGTGGGGCAGCTTACGTGGCAGACTGTATGTAGTGAAGCTATGTAATGCCATCAACGTGGTGCCATCTATGTTACAATCTAGGCGGCGACGGGGCGTCGATAGGGCGGCGACGGTGAGCGAGCAAAGAGCCGCCAGACCGCCAGCCTGGTCCAGACGACGGGCGGCGACGAAGCGGCGACAGGGCGGCGACGGCAAGCATGGAGCCGCCAACTCGCCAGGAAAAGAACTACGAATTCCCAATTGCAAGCGCGGCTTGAATGGAGGCGACGAAGCGGCGACGGGGCGGCACCAGCGAGCATGGAGCCGCCAGACCGACACCTGGGCCCTTGTAAAAAAAGGCACCCAGAATTCAAGCACGGTTCGGGGCAAAACTAACAATACTGATGCATCTTTCTCCTCTCAACAATCTCTCCCGTCTCGCCCTTCTCCCTTCTACTCGTGACTCTTCCTAGTTCTCGCCCCCGTGGACCCTTCCCCGCCCGTCCCTTTGAACCCTTCCCCGTCTCCCCATCTTTGTTTGTGGAGGCTCCTCCTTTGCGGTCTCATGGGGCCTGTCGAAGGCGTTCTGGGGGCCTCTTTGGGGCCTCCAGGCAGGCTTTTTGGGGCCTCTGGTCTGGGGCTCATTGGAACCATCTAGCCGCCAACCGCGACTTCCCTCAAAGACCAGGTGCCGATTTGGAGTGCCTTGGGGGGCTTGGCTTTGGGGGGTCATCTTGGAGCCATCTTGGGCCAAATTTGGACTCTCCCTCTTGGGCCGTCTTGAATCACTGTCGGCCCGTGTTGAGGCGATCTTGGGAGCCTCTTGGGCGGTCTCGGACGCCAAGAAGACCGACGAGGCGGGTGTCCCCAAATCATCCAGCTTCATTGGGTCGTCTTGATGAGTCTCGCCGTAATATGACGACACTTGAGGCTCTCGTGCGACTGTTTTGGGCGCCCTCCTGCAGTTTAGGGGCTCTTATTCCAAGCTCAGCAAGGACGTCCATGAGCCTGGAGGGCCGAGGGAGCGCTTTGGTGCTCAAGGATCTCGGAGGTTGGGAGGGTCCCAGCTAATCAAAGTAAACGAATAGGCGCGTCGCTCGCACCATGCACCACGGCCCTTCGCGTCTCGCACACAAGCACACAACAACGTCCGAACGTCCGCACGGGTTGATACTACTACATACGTTTGCCTTCGCAGGGTGCCCCAGAATTCCAGCGCACTCGCAGGTCCTTCGGAGGACGAATTTTACTTTAGGCACCCGCTGGCAAGCAGCTCCCCTGTCTGCTTTGGCTGCTTTGCGCATCAGCTCGAACGCATGGCCGCCGCCATGACTACCTGAACAACTGTTGGCAAACAAATCTGGATAGCAAGGAGAAATGTAGATGCTGCCTGCCGCTTCGAACATCAATGACTACAACAGCATCCACACCCAAAAGAGGCTGAGGCTGGAGCCTGCCGCACCTCGAAGTCTGCTCAGGCCGTACGGCACCTTCCAAGGCTCGCATGTCTCGTTGGAGAGAGCCGCCTGGAAATGCGCCGGCCGCCATCAAACGTTGACAGCTGACATCGTCCTGATGTGTGCAAGAGACCGTGATCCCCCTCCCGGAAATCGTAGTTCCATGTTGGGCGCCGTGGCATTAGTAAGCAACTCCTGGGAGGCCTTCGTGTGCGAATGAGGACTGATATTCCTGTGGCAACCCATTGGGGGCCTCCAATGTCGTCTCGCTGCCTCTTACGAATTAACGCTCATCGACGCTAGTCGACGCTGGTCGACGCTAATCAAAGCCAAGACGACGCTAGATCGCAGCTGATTCGCCGTCGCATCATCGATCAGCGGCGCGCTGGGGGCGGCCTCTCGAGCAGCATGTCGCCACCCAGCTCGCGACGAAGACGCCGACGGCGACGACGACGGCGGCGAAGATGCCGAAGACGCCCAAGACGCCGACGGCGACGAAATCGATAACAACAACGAAGACGACGACGACGACGCCGCGTGACGCCGATGCTGACGACGATGCTGTCGACGATGCTGTCGCACCGGGCCTCCCTCCTCGGTTGCAGCATTACCCTCGGCCTCCTTGGACGCACTGCGCTCGCTCCTCTCTCCCCCTGCACATCGTGCTGCGCACTCCTCGACTGCACGCAGGGAACGAGCCCGGGTAAGGGTGACCTTTGGTGTGCGGCTTTCTGGGGGGACCGCGGGGGGACCAAGCACAAGCGAACCAGACGCTACTACCGCATCGCGTCCGGCGATCGGGGACCCCATTGGGCCCGCACCAAAATCCCTCTGGCGAAAGGACACTCTTACGTCTAGCCTAGTCGAACTCTGAGATCCGACGTTGCCCAGGAAAATGCAACATCGCAGAAGAAAACACGACCGAACCCAGACCCCATCTTCCTGCGTATTTTTCGACGCGGACCCATCTCTGAGGGCCACCTGGGCCCGACATGGAGCGAAAACGCCTGGCTCGAGCAAAAAAAAAGGAGTCGCGAGGATCTCCGGGCACTCCTCGGGATCCGCCCCCCATGGATGGTCAGTGCGCCAGGCTTGATAGCTCGGACGTCCATTCCCTGTGCATTTTTCGGTTTCGTGGGTGTTTTTGTTTGCTCGATGATCCAGGATGCTCCTCCAGGGTCCTCGCCGAGAAAAAAATGTACACGTCCGAGCGATGCCAGGCAGGGAGGAGCAGGAGCAGCAGGGTCGAGCGTCTCGGCAGGCCAGAGGCCTCCCTTGAGCCCGCCATGCGGGAGAGCGCCCCCGCCCGCCCTCCACCCGCCGCTCTCCGAGGGCGCCCCGCCACGCTGCCGGAAGGGAGATCTCCGCTGAAGCTTCCGGGGCGAGAGGCAGAGCGGCCCCACAGGACGGCCCTGGGGCGGCGCACGGCTGAGGCCACGACCCTCGTCGAAATGACTCTCAAAGAGGTCTCGTGTAGCCGAATCGTGCACGGGAAGACACTTGAGTAGCGATGAGTGCGAGGCACTTGTTTGCGCCGCCCCTCCAGTGTCGGTCGTCATCGAACTTCAGACTCGCTCCTGGTCAGGCCACCTCTGCACTGGCCCAGACATTGGAGGGGCGTCGTATCGACATTGAAGGGCGCGCCGACCTCGAAAGGTCATGTCCACGATGTTTGAGGTCAATTTTGACGAGGGCAATCGGACGAGGAAACATCTGGTAAGAAAAAAAATCGCGAATCTCTGAGATCCGCCGTCGGAGGATCGCGCCGCATCGCCAACGCATGGGCGATGCATCGGCGATGCATCGCCGACGTCGGCGACGCATCGGCGACGCCGACGTGAAGCAAATCGGGCTGCACATTGAGCCGAATAGTCGATGCATCGGCGATGCGGCGCGATCCTCCGACCCCATCTACTCCGACCTCATCTAGGGGCACAGAGGAACAGACGTATCCTCGTCCGAGCTCCGTCCGACAACAAGGTGCCAACGGCTCCAGAGCAGCCAAACAGACGCCCCCAAACCCAAATCGCGTACCCCCAAACGTTGACTACTGAATATTTTATGTGATGTCAATCGATCGGAATTTCGGCTGGCGCACGCCTGCTTGAAGCGGAGGCGCTGCTCAAACTGCTCGCTCACATCAACAGGGATAAGTAATCTCGGCTAGATAGGCAAATCTCACCGCGAGGGAGGGATCGAGCTCCTCAATTTCTTTTCGTGGCCTCCTCCGCGCGCGGCTGAAATTGCACACGTCTGCCGTGCAACATCATCTGCCAGATGATGCGGCGAGGCAAGCACTGCGCGCAGCGGTCCACCGAATAGAGTTAGCAGCGGCGCGCTCATTGAGCACAGCGTAGGGTCAACATCTCGTGCGCGTGGACGATCGTGAAGCGGTTCGTGGCCACAACTACAGTGAGGCCAGGTCATGACGATGCGCGGTAAGGA